TATGGTTCTATGAAGTAACGATATTTTATTTCCAGTGATTCCACGACAGTTGCTTCCTAACAAATACAATCTTAAGTTGGGCACGAAAGAAGTTTTCCATCACGCTCACAATCTTTGCTCTCAACGGTGTAGTCCATATATGTTGGACCTGGTTACAATTGTTTCTCAAATGCCGCTCGTAAATAGGTAATATACATTTGATGAGTGTTTTGAAAATCAACTGTCCTTTGACCTCGACATTAGCGATGACTAGAAAATTCATTTATGGTTCAGTCAATAGCACAAAGTTGATTTGTAATACAATAATTCGAGCGGATGGGGATATATAGCTTGTACAGAGCACAGAAGTAGATTCACAACGAAGACGAGTAACTGCGATTTGAGAGGGTAAAACGATAACCGAGAAAACTTTTTCATCGGCCTTGTAGCGTTACTTGAGTAAAAGAAACACGACTTTTGTGATTATCGGAACAAAAATCACGTGATCCATTCCAACCATATTCATTAGCCCCAATGGTTTTGACTCAAAATTTGCTCTTTGAATATTTTTAAGCCTTCTGTATGTTAAGGTCCACGTCATGACTTTGCAGCAATCGGCTAACATTGAGACATCACATATATATTACTATCGACGTAAGAGGAGATGTTCTACAAGGCGATACAATTTCGCTCAAGTTATTCATTTTCGCTGGCCAAAACGTCATGGAAACACTAGAATGGAACAATATGTGAGTGAAAATTAACAGTCGATAAACAAACCACCTTCGCTTCGACGATGGTTTCGTCCTCGTAACACCAGCCGTCTGCCAAACAGAACGAATGTTGACTGATTTTAAAGACGTCTTTGGAAAGATTGGTCTTCGACTAAATCCATCAAAAACGATGTTTATGATAAACGGATGGGTTTTGAATTCTCCATTCACGCTCAACGAAACGAACATCTCCAAGTGCTCCGGTTCCGTTTGTCTTGGTCGTGAAGTCAAAATGATGAACGACCTAGCTTCTGAGTTGAATAGGAAGAAACGAGCGGCTTGGGAAATTTTAGGAGCATTGAGGATGTTGTGAAGAGGACAAAGAACATTTAATCCGTGCCTACCTTCTCGAATCGACAATTATCTCTGCCTAACATAAGCAACAGAAACCTGCTCACTACGTAACCAGAAAGAAAGATCACTTGGCGTTATTGAATGCACAGTCGAAAGGACGATGTTCGGAGAATCCCGTGTCTCGCAAATGAGAAAAAGGATTTGAAATTCCGACCTACGTCAACGATCGAAGATTACAGATGCCCTTCTACACGGCGTTCGATTATAAGGTGGACCGGGCACGAAATACGCTTCAACGACAACCAATTGACGAGACCATTTCCGACTGCGATCTTCAGGTTGTTAAGCGCTCTACAAAAGAAAAACCACTGACCCGATGTCCAATTTTTTCAGGAAAAGCCTAGAAGAAGGATATGATGCTTAACGAATCCCTAGAGCAGCAAGAACCTACTGGGCTACTCTTGCTCGCTATGGAAAGATTGAGTTGTTGGTGGCCTGCCTGAGTCACTTGGCGATCAACGAGACAGCAGGTGATACAGGTGACTAGCACTGAAACTGAAGTAAGTTTATCTTGTTTAGTTTAGTTTCCTATTTTTGAGCTGAATTTGTAACTGGTTCTCAACTTTTGATTATTAATATATACTCTCTCTTCACACCTTTTCTTTTCTTTTCAGGATTTCCCACAATATCGTGATTCAGACATGTTCATCTTTATCGTTATAGCCTCTTTTTGTATTGTCAAAATTTTGTCGTATATACATGCCGATATTCTGAACTGATGGATGAACCGTTTCGGGTCTGGGGTTAGAAAGGATGTCGTCCATTGAAAACAGATCTTTGCAGTGTAGAACAAGTAAGCGTTTGTATGAATTTTTTCGTTTATGTCCATTTTATTGAAGTAAGGCAAGATTTATTCTATAGGATGCTGCTACTTTATTGATTGCAAATAGAACTCACTACTTGTGGATGGTCCTATCAGTTTAATTCTGAATGACCTCGGAATATTATATCGTTCCATAAGTTTTGGTACTAGAGCAATAAATACCAAATTTATTCACCAGAAGAAATTAGAATTGCATGTTTTTGGTATCGTTCAATTGCTCATTTTCTTTCGAACATTTTGGTACACGACTTGCCTATACTTGCTTCAAGATGGAGCTGTCCTGGGAACAAATTCGCTTGCTACAAAGAATACGAATACAGACGGATGGAGTGAGGATGAATTTTAGAGCTATTATCAATACTTTCCAGTTTCTGTTGTGTTAAGCAATTCTCATGATATTAATACTTCTGTCTATGTTATATTCACTAGAGTATCTACTACAACTTTATGCATGATAAGGGTGGCTTCATATCCTTAGTAGTTTACTTTCTTTGGTATTTTGTTGGTGAAATGACTGATTATGATCTTGTTAATAGGTACGGAATTGATAACAACCTGAAGCAGCTGTACTCTGTAATTTATTTGTCCTTCTGCTCTTGCTTAACTTATTTAGGTAGAGAAATCTCTGTGTTTGAAAACCTATTAGAATAGGATAATTTTGTTTGGTTCCCGTCCTTCACACCATTGCCTTTGTACTTTCCATTAAATTGTTTTCTTTTGATATATAAAAATCGAGAAAACTTATTTTTATTAGATGGAGCGAGGTTGGTAAATTAGTCGTAGTAATTTGGCTGACGTTTCGGCGGCCCGCCTTCTTCAAAGCCTGAGCGTATGTAGTATTAGTCTATTTGAATGTGCAAAGGCAAAGCTGTAAAGGACGGGAACCAAGCAATAATTCAAATAGACCAATACTACATACTCCCAGTCTCTGAAGAAGGCAAGTCGCCGAAACGTTAGCCTAATTATTGCGACTAATTTATTAACCTCGCGTCAGCTAATCAAGATAATTTTTCGATTTCCGTATATCAATCAGTTATGCCGAGATTTATAGAAAGTCGAACTTTTGATTTGTTTTCTTTTGATTAATAGACATAAATCTCCTCTTCATTTCAAATTGTTCATGATTTTAGTTTCATATAGCTGAATATTTTGCCAATTCAATGGAAGCCCTCAACCCTTTCAGGAGCGTAGTACCACGGCTCTACATCTCTAACTGACAACCCTGGACGGTCTGCTTTACCTCACCATCTCCAGCCTTCAGCGTGTTGCGTCTAACAATGGCACACTTCTGTGTCTAACAGTGGCAAGCTGTTGCATATAATAATGCTGGCTGCTACGTCTAATAATGGAACGCTGGGGGTTACAGATGCAGAGTAGGTGTAGCGGAGCGGACTGCTAGTGTTGAAATTGAAGTTGAACGGGTATTAGAAGAAAGTGAGCCGTAACACTCTTCTCTTCATCAGTTCATTTCGAATTTATCCCAAACTTCTTTTATAGTAGGACGTTGTTTGGCTGTAACACTCGCACAACACCATATCGTTAAGTTTTGGGTAGATCACTTTCTCAATACGTAGGTATCTCTAGTGTAAATTACTCACTGTTCTTTCCTTTCTTACTGGCATTCTTATAGACGCCGATTTCTACTGCATGTCCATAAAGTTGAAAATTGCGCTTCGAGCTTCTTCATGCCGGTGTTTATGTTTGTGGCTACCAAATTCGAAACGTTATGAACGTTTCTATGGTGAGCATCTCTTTTCAATAATACGACATATATTTTCAACTACTTCATACTATTGAAAGGGCATTGGCCATGTGGTTAGTGAGGCAGTTAATGAGAAAGCAACGTGCTGAGTTTGACGCTATCCTTCCCCACGCTCTCTTCCAGTTCAGATGGGAACGCTTTAGCCTTTTGAGGATCAGCGTTGATAGGCAGGCGGCCTCGTACGCGGCACTTGCGTGGCGGTCAGATAAGAGGCTCTGCACATCTGTGCATACGTGTCTGGCCGTCTGCTTACTTTCTCACAAGACGCGGCGCCGCAATTACAGAAACTTAGTGAAATTTTACGTTACGTGGTGATAATCAAAATGACTCTTAGGCACTTTGGAGGGTGAGCTCGGCTACCTTTATGATTGCAAGGAGTTGCCTCCGACCAGTATTCACTTTTCACCCTCTAGAATGTTTTCACGGCAACACGGTCTTGGGTATTACTGCGTCTCAAGTGCTGACTAGCTCCAAATCTTGTCGGTGTCAGTTTATTGATATCAAATTAGTCTGGAGGACTGCACCTAGCAAGCTTACACATCGGTAGACCTTTTACAAGTCAATAGTCCAGATATGCATCCAACTACGTCTACAACGCTAGATGAAGTCGGGTTAATCGTTTATCACACAGGAATCGATCAACGCCAAATATATTCCTTTCCTTCTATCGTTAAGGTCAACAAATGGTTTGTTCTCTCAATAAGATTACGATCTGTTTTTGAAAACCAAGCCGCGTTGTATTGGATATTCAACTGGAAGCTCATTCCACCTCAAAGATCACTCAAACTGCGAAAGAGTTTGAAAGCCTCAATAGGTAATCTAGTTAGGTAATTCATATTAACTCATGTGTAGCTCGACACTCAACTACGAATCCCCAACATCTTATTGATAACTCTACATGTAGGATGCTATTGAAGTCGTCCGAAAAAGCGGTGTTTACTGAGCACTTTCTTTGCTCAACTCTGTTTGATGGATATTTCATCGGTGCAAAAACTGAGGTTATTCCAAGTTCTACAAATCAGAGCAATGAATGACAATATCTGGAGAGTATTCTAGATAATATTTCTTAGTTTAACTGCTTTTTAGCACTGGTGTGGTGTTATAAGATACATTTAGAGTACTAAGTGATATGCAAAACAATTAAATCTGCGTTTCCCCAATACCGGGAGTCCGTGCTACCACTATACCACCGAGGCACTGCTTTGCTACCACTCTCTCTTCTTATAAACAAGGGTAGCTATCCAAACCCTTTAAGGGTTGGTTGCTGGCAACTACAATAAGATATTGAAGGAGTGGTAGCATAGCAAAAGCCTTTGTGGCAAAATTGGTAGCACATACTCCCACTATGGGTAAAACACGAGTTCGAATCCCGGCTAAGGTTGAAAATTTTGCGTACCATGCAATACTCTTAGACATCTGGAGAGTTGTTTCTATGGATATGAGTATATTTTCACAACTTATTGCTTTAATTTTCTCCGCATGATGCTGTTTCTACATTTTTTGTGAGCATAATTTTCACGAACTAAATTAACATACATGTTCTGAATATTTCTAGCCCATCGAGTTATTTCTCCAAGGAAGTGATTTCGTTGAAAGGGTTAGTAAATCTGAGGATCTTCTGCCGCTCATCATTTCTAAGCAAGAACTGAGTCAATTTGTACATCTATGTTATAGGTTACTCCATTTCAGTTTTATATCGTCTTGATTTATTTTTCTCATAAATCAAATTTGCGTCTTTTTTTTGCTTCGTCATGACACTTGAGATTTTAGGAGGCTAGAACATGAAGCCTCTATTGCTATCGAGAGCCGACTTGAGTGGGCACCTCGATATGGCTTCCATATTGTTGATAATACCAAGGCAGAAACAATCCGAAGCTATGCTGTGTTTATTGCACCTCTAGAACGGTTTGTTCATCATCAGTAATGTTCCCTTGAAGCAACTTGAACTGCTTTTGAGTACGAAGTACTACAGTAGACTTCATTTATGCTTGAACTTCATCGTGAGTGAATTTGCACTCATATATGGTGCACACTGAGCCAGCGTGAGTCGGTATCGACTCATCTTCTTTGCGGTCGTTTATGTTCTCCATTGGAGGATTTCCTGTTTTACTCTCTCTGCTCGATCGGTGACTCTAGCTTATAATCTTTTCATAAAAAAATTATAGTAAGTGTTGAAGGGATATGCATAGGTGAATTGTGGTATAACAGTGCCCGCTTTGAAGATTTTTGTTTCGTAGAATAGCTAAGCAATCAGTACTGTGCTTGTAGAAACGGTCTTTTTTCCAACACTTAGTGTCGCAGTGTTACAAACATCACGCTCAGTCAGTCGCCTTGATGGTTTGTGGTATCACTTGTTCCACGTCTAAGAGAAATGGGATTTCAAGCAAAGCATGGGGACAAAAGTTTGCGTACCACTCAATACATCTAGATGTATGTTCATAATACTCTACTTCACCCCATTAGTTCTTTTCGGTTATTTGGAAGCAAATAAAGAAACGACCCCTTTCGCCGAACAAGAAATTTGTATAAGAATGTAAGCAATCATTCGAAAGCTCAAATTTCTGGCTAGTGCGCTACGTGGCCGTTTTGCGGAGAAGTCTGTTTATAACGCTTGAGCAAAAGGAAAACAGGATCCTTCCTAGAGTTTTGCCGCATTTTTGGTACTGTCCATGGATGCACCACTTGAAGCCTCCGGTAAAACCGTATTCTTTGCTGTTATCTAACATGTGTATGATTATTTGATAGCTGAAATCAAGTGAATTTCAAAAGTTTATTTCAATTCTCATTTTGCTTGTTTTTGACGCCGTACGAGTTAAAATGGGATTTTGTTTCACATTCGAAAACTTCTCCCCTGATAAAAGCTTTCCTATATCGATATTTTAACTAGTATATAGAGCAGATCATTCTAATTGAGAAAATGCGTTTGGACTTTGGAAAAAAATTTTTAGAGCTCTGCAATTCGCACTCTAGCCGACTAGAAGTGCTCGCTGAGAGTGAAACCCAATATTCTTTCGGTCGTTACAAAGCTCGAAGAAGTTTTTTTCCGAAAACCAAATATACCTTTATAATCGGAAAGATTTTTTCTACTCAACAATCAAGAATTCATTACGACCATACTTTTATCCAGTGAGAAATCTTCGAATGAGGGACAAAATCATATTTTTACTGGTACGGCGCCAAAATAAGCTATTTGAGAAAAAAAACATGCCATTAAAATTCGCTCAATTTGAGCTATCGAAAAACTACAGAAACGTTTTGCAAAAGCAAAAAATACATTTTTACCGGAGGCCTCAAGCGGCGCCGCGTTTTCGTTTTAAATATCCTTTTTCAGAATCCTGCCAAATTTTCAAACATCATACTTTACTATAGAAATCAGATAATGCTGTTGTCAAATGTCTTTATTCTTCTTTCTGAGCGTATAATTCAGAGTTAATATCAATTAGCCCTAAGCCTAAGCCCAAATGAGGCGGGATTCTAGAAGAGATCCGGAAAACATTTCACCCTCGCAGGACACAGATCTTCATTTAGACTATTAGTAACTATTGCATAGCGTAAGTTTCGCTAGGGGCACGGAAAGCTGTCCGCGGTTTCGAAACGGCAATCTCAGTTTGATACTTAATGCTTTGAATGTCGAAGTAAAAAACAGTACCTCTGCACACCTCTTCAACTCGATGCAAATTCTCTCGTTCCAGTATTATGGAATTCTGAATTGTGGAGCACACAGGACCTTCTTTTTCAGTGAACTTGTATTTCAAACACCAAAGTAATTGTCCAAGACTCTCTAGCAAAGAGCAATTGTTTTCAAAAATGCATAATTGTAAAGTACTGGCGCGCCGATTGCGTGAGATTCTGAGATTTCAAACTCATTTTTTAGTTTTATGATTCAATTTGCAAAGAAAGCCAAATTGGAAACAACTATTCAGGAAAGTTAAACATAGCCTTTGAGCGGGAGAAAAAAGTCAATTAAGTTCTTAACATCTCAAGTATTTTAATTGTCTGAAAATTAGCCAGTGTTGCGGGGAAGTTAGCTCGTGCATTATCTGTCATTATTCCTATTCGTTTCCTTGCATTCTTCCTTTACAGGGGTCTTTGAACATGACACGTGCTGCCTCGGTTGTTGCTTAACTCTTTCACACCGGCCGTTGATAGGAAACGACGTCGCGGTGGTCGCTCACATGGCAGTTGGCGAGGCCTTGCGGATAAAATGACAAAGGGATAAAGCTCTCGGCGTTGATCGACAACTGAGGGATGCGCCATGCATTCGTCTTCACTTTCTAACTTCTTTTGAGGTGACTGAATGCATATCTGGCCTTTACAATGACTCTCGGTGGCCTCCCGCTAAACCGAGTCAGTGCTGCTTGTCCTCGCAGACAAGTCCGAGACCAGTTTGGTATCTTCACTAGACCTCGGAGGGATGGATGGCTTGGTGGACCACGAGCTTGAGATAGAACCATTAACCTCGCCTGCGATGCAGGACCTTGCGGATAAAGCATTTATTTTCACAATGTTACAGTTTCGTTATGAATTCGGACTTTCATCGTTGCTAGAGAGGATTTATACTCAGCAAATGGTAGAATATGATGAGAGATACTTCATAGGGCTATTTTCGTTGAAGCATGCCTAAGCTATCGCAAAACAATTTTCGAAAAAATTCATACTGCACATTTCATACGATGCCACATCGTCGACTATCTAGAGTAACTTTTTATTATTAGTGTACTTTGATTCTTGAGCCCTCTATGGAGTCGCAGAAGAGGCTTTGTTCCACTCTCTTAAGGATAATACTTTTAAATATCCACTTATACTCAACTATTATTCACCAGCAACCCAACCTGGAAGCAGCGCCTGTTTTCTCAAAAACCTTGGATTTTTGAGGGAAAGACCATATGATTACGGAAAAGTAGTAGTTTTTCTAATAGATTACATGCTTGGACGGCTCTTCGATTGTTTCCGATAAAATATGTTGAAGTACCAGCTCATAAAACAAATCGATGTGGGTATTTTGCATTGAAAGCATCATCTCAATCAGTGTAGGATTGCCTTAAGCGAGGAGTGACAAGATAATAATTGGTTTCCCAGCCAACATGAATTTTATTCAGGAATCGCTTCTGCTTCATACAACTGAAATGTGGAACGACGCCTTAACCGTGACAAAGACCTTATTCGTGATTTCCAAAGCACTATATTAATTTAATTGGCCTGTATTGCGCTTGTTCTTAGGAAATTTCAAGACAATTATAGTTTCTAATGTTTATAGTAATGACTAAAAGATGGAGATTTGTTTTCCGCAGATGCAAATATTTTATAACGATTTGTATGCTTTTTCAAGGACACTGTCCTGAGAAAATGGGCATCTGAAGTGGCGAAGGAAATTAGCGAACAAAAGTCGAAATTTCCTGGTGTTCATGTTCAAGGTTATTCATCACCTGCGGACCCAAATTTCGTTATTAAGGTGATTCATGGAGGGCAAGTGATTAATTTTTTGCTGTTCGGAACATTTATATACTATCATATCTTCTCATTGTAAATCATGACATGGCACGTCGACAATCAAGCTTCTCATAAGTTCGAAGTTCACAATAGTCGTTTAAGAGCTTCACTTTGACGACAAAATCACTAAGATTTCGTCGATAGGCCTGGTTTCAGCGATAATCACGAAGCTCTGTTCCCAGAATCATCCACTCGCCTGATATCTACAGGCACCTCCAATCATCTACTGCATTTTTCGACACAAAAATAACAGTGAGTACTCTCCTTTGCTCGATATGGAACGCAACATTAAATTGTAGACATGCTTTCACTGTGATTGACATAGCTCATCAAATGTGTTGTTAGCAAACATTTTGAGTGCTCTCAAAAAAAATATTGTACCCTCAGTACCACACAATGCGAGTACACGAGTACAGCGCTTAAATTCGAAATGTCCCGCAATTTACGCCAGTTCTAGCACCCCAAGTTGATCGAGGTTTCCTATCCATTGCGGAGTCAGCGAATTCGTACTAAACTTGCCCGGAGGTGCAAACCCACTGACTTTATGTATTGATAGGTCAACTCAAGTCATTCATATGGCAGATATGCGTTCACTTAGCTCTACGATACTTTTTCAGTGGACTATATGGCACATCGCCAAGGTGTTGACACCGAACTAATTAATGTTTTATCTTTCACATATCACATGTAAGACAACGCATGTTAATTACCATTTTACAAAGTTGAACAATGTAATGTAGATCTTGGACTCAGCAAAGCTTCTTTTTTTATACGTGGCCCGTCATCGCATATACTGTGTGAATTCCAGCACTTTTTGGGTTGGCTTTGTTCCCACGAAATCATTCTTCACAATAGCTATCGACCATTCCCTTCTGGTTCCGATTGCTGCTT